CTTGTGAAACTTTTGTGATCCATCCTTGGTTGGTGAAACTCCTGGGCACCATCGTTATTTCTTAATCGTATCAGCCAAGTTTGACGATAAGGTATGACAGGATAGGTACAAGAGCGACCTCAACCAATAATCACATGAAAACATGCCTTAACATCATATATTAATATCTCATCACATCTATTCATTTAGCACAGAGATTGGATGCAAATTAAACGTTTGCAACGTTTTGCTCTACATAATTATGTTTTGACTTTATTAGTTATCTTTTCATGTGCAGTGGCATTTATTTTGAACGTTTTTGCTCATTATAATCAGATAACTTGTTCAGCGGGGCATACCCAGTGTTTCCCTACACCTTTTTCCTGTATATTACTTTGTAATTGCTTGTAGTTTGTAACTTTGTAGCAGATTCCATCTGCTTTCTTTGGTTAAATACAAAATTTGATTAGCCAAAAGAAAAAGAAAAGGCCTACATATGGGAAATATTTTACAGAATTGAACACATGCCCTTGCTAATTTTAGGCTTAATGGCAAGCATATTGTAAACAGTAACATTTAAATGTGACAGCTAAACATAAATATAAAACATGCTGAAAACCATAATTAAACGCAATTAAAAAGGAAAATACGACAATGGGCCAGCCTAAAAATATGTCAACAATTGTATCATTTTTCCAACTTGTATCATTTTTCCAACTTGTTGCCATAAATTTTCTTGGGACCTACTAGATGATGTTTCGCCCTCAATTTCAAATCCATCAAAAATTCTGAATACCACATCTTCGGGGTAGTTTCCTTGGCATTTTCCATGACAAAGAAAGTGCAATCCAGATCATGCAGCTGGGAACACGACACCTGGTTGGAATAGTTTCTTTGTAATTTACCAATACGCGTTGTGTTCTTCCAACCCATTATGACGGATACAGTACAAACTTAGATTGTGAAACATTTGTTCGTCTTTGAGTCGGCTTTTAATTTTGCCGGCAATTCATGTCAACCTGTTGGTTCGATATCTTATTAATATCCATGTTTTTTGCACGAGAGGGCTATTGCTGTAGCTCGTTATGTTCTGAGTCCATACAATCTCCACTAGCTAAAATCCACAGTGGACCGACTGTGGACCTTCCAACGAGGTCATATTCGGTTATCTCAATCCTGTACATTTGTTGACAAATAAAAATTCATACATCCAACTATAAACTTATTAATTGGATATTAATTGATCATAAATTCATTTAAATAAGATTTTCCATTATAATATAATTAATGGTCAAAATTTTATTGATGTGAAGATAATTATGGTCGTGTTAGCAAAAATTAACATTTCAACATCATGATTGTTACAATAATCGTAAAATTAAATGACGTTTGAAAAGGAATTCAATTTTTCAAAATCTCATAATAAAAGGATTAAATTGATCAATTTTGAGATAAATAGATTAAATTGATAAAATCTTATAATATAGAGACTTAAAGGTACTTTTACGTACGATTAATTAAAGCTCAAATTAATTTGAAATAATGAAGGGAGGATTCCAAAAATTCAAACCTTGTTAGTCAACAATATAAGGATGGTGGTAACCAGCAGCAACAAACAATCAGGTACCAAATCTATAACCTTTTGAAAGTTGAATTTCATAAATTTTCATGAAAGACTGACTGGTTTATTAATTATTTTTTACTGAATTAGCTTATTTGAAAATATATTTGAAATGTGAAGTAAGATCAATTAGAGATTAGAACGAAAGATGAGTTTGCATAAAGAGCTAGCATCTACGAGAAAAGATAAGTTGAGAGACAAAGGTGGGGCTAATCTACGTTTTGAAAATTAAAACTTGACGATAATGGAGAGTGGAAAAGTCCGCTTCCCGTAGCCTATTAGGTTCTATGGCCAACTCAGGTAACAGTAAGATTTATGGAAAAAAATAAATTAAAAGAATTGCATATATTGTAGGAAAATAATTACAAGAATTCTTTTATATATATATTTGATGTATTGTCTGGATATAATATTTAGATATTATTATTTAATTACATAGTGTCATTTTATAAATATGTAATAGTAAAAAATTTTAAAAAATTTTCAACATAAATATTTTCAAAATTATGGGTATTTAGTTTTTAGAATTTTTAATTCTTATATGTATTTATTAACAGATAACAATATTTGATTAAATCATAATGTTTATGAACTATACACTGATAATGCATAAAATATAAAATTTTTTTTATAGTAAGATATAAAAGATAAGTTTAAATGTGTGCTAATACACACTTAAAAGATTATCTTTGCCATCATATGAAATTAGGAATAATTTTATTACGAGTATTCAATTTATTCGACCCATCTTGCTCTTCTCATAAAGAAAAAAAGACAAAATCAAAGAAGCAAATAACTTTTCCCCCTTCCTTGTTGATTTTCATGAAGTATCAACTCATGATCAGAATTATTAGTGATAGATCAAGGCGACAAGTTTTAGAATTTCTTTCAAATAATAAAATCCAACCAAAAAACTACCAAAATCAAATCATTCAACATTCTAGTTGAAGCAAAGATGAGAGATCTTCCCACAATTTGAAGCCAAAGTTTTGTATATGGATTGGTTGTAAATGATGGAAATAAAAGAATATAACAAAAACCAAGCAACAACCGAATAATTAAAGAGAATATCTGGTCACAGAAAAAGCAAAAATAAAAATAAAAATCAATCAACAAATGTGAAATTCACGGTCTTGAAGCTACTCGCATAATTCATACGTATATTTACATAATAGTAAGGAAACAAAGAAAGAACCAGCTCCCAGGTATATCCCACGGGCCTGTCGTTTCCTGGAAAGACTTAGCAGTAAATTATTGCTAGCCAAAAGGATAGATGAGGAATGCAGGGATTGGTATCATTAATGGTATGGAGAGGTAGCTTGGATCCGATTCTTTCGTTTTTGGAGGAACCGTTGGAGCGATCTCTTCATGGTGATTCCAGTACTTGGGCTATATAGCTGAGATTGTAGCGTTGGTGAAGCCGGAACCGATCCGGAACCTGAACCCGTCGGAGTTTTTATTCTTTCATCCGTTTCTCGGTTTGCCAGCATTAGAATGGCTCTTGCCTGTGGTTATTCCATGTAAATCAATAAGTAATGATCTATTGATATCTTATAAGCTCTATTTCTAGTGGATCATTAATTTACATGGATTCAATAAAATTACTATACGTTTTTGACTCGTATCATAAATTAAAATGAAATCATCACCTAAAGAATATGTTGAGAAAAGCAAATTAAATCGCCTTTCCGTGTTATATCAGCTAATTTACATTATGGGTAGTTGGCCAAAAATAACTTATGATATTAATTAATCGCCAAGGTAGATAAAATATGCCTCTCAAACTCGAAATGCATGAAATTGTCGTGCTCAAATCGGAGGTCAAATCTTGCATGTGTCTGTATTTTGTATTAAACACCCGCAACTTCGGTGAAGCAACTATGTCGGCATACATAAGAATTTTGACAAAGACCAACCAAGAACTCAGGCAAATTTACTACTGCTACCACTGAAAATCTTTTTTTCTTTTACTTCTTCGCCCAATTCTAATGCATGAATTTTTTTTTTTTAGACATTTCAAGTAGTAGCTGTACTTAATTATCATATATGCAGAAAGCCAAAGAAGGCGGGTAAAAAGGAAATGAATTAATTAAGACCAAATTCTTACCTGGAGCTCTGTAACATCACAAACACAAACTCTTCCATTATAGAAAATTGTTAGCTGTTGCTGTTGGTTTTGTGGGCTTTCGCTGCTCTCTTCCACCCTTCAATCACACAAAAGAAAAACCAATCAGATACTTGCAGTATTCGTTTCTTCTTAATGCATACAAAATGCTTATACAACTACATATGAAGAGAAGGGTAGTCCATACATGTCGTGGTGGCCGCCGGAATAACTAGAAGGAAAGAGGCGAAGTTCCAAGTTGCAGTTTCGTCTCATGGTTGAAGATGAAGAAAACAAAATCTAAACACTCTTGTTTTATCTGATATATTGCAATGAGAGAAAAATCAAATGGCGTGGGAATGGAGGAAGAAGATATGTTAAATTGGAGGGGGAGTTAAGAAAGAAGAAAGCTTATACATAAAGGTGTGGTGGTGTTGTGGTTGGCACAACGTTTTGAAAGCTATGCGCCACACGTAACGCACAGAACCGAGACACACAAAAATTAAAAAAATTAAAAAAAATCAGCTCTCAAAAAGAGATTAATTTAAGCACGTGGAACATGCTTTTTTGTAAACGAAAATGATCTTCCGCTTTTTTCAATTCCATGTATCACAAAAACCGCCTCCTTCTTAATAAAAAAGTAGCGCTAAATCCATTTTTCCTGATTTGATTGTTCTTTGGGCCTTCCAGTTGTGTTTGCTGCTTTCATATTCCTTGTACAAAATCCACGTGCTTTTGAGTCGGCATAAGTCTACTTTTCTTTTTCTATTTATTCAAAGTCTTTTTCTTTTTAACAATTCTTTTTAGTAGACTTATTGACTTTTTTTAAAACGGTTTTATACACAATTGTTTATTGTTGGTAGTTACCGAATAACAGAGAAATGGGCCGGGTATTTTTTATAATATTTAAGAAAGTTTTTAAATTATTTTCAAAACTTTAAATAAATTTATATTTTTTATAATATTTAACTAAATTTTTATATTTTTATTTTAAATTAAATTAATAAATTCTCATAATTAATTGACTAATCATTATTAATTAAAATAACACATCATTTATGACACATAAGAGACAAATGCTTCTATTATTATGAGATTGTGGCGTCTCAAAATTTTTAAAAGTTTTTACATATTATATATTATTTCTTAATGACTCTTTAAAAAAAATTTAACTTTTATTCCTTTTAATC